CAGAGGGTGGCCATTGGCCCAGAGCTCTGCTGTCCTCCCCAAGCCTCTCTTGCCTCCCCCTCCCTCAGGGAAGCATGCCAGGCTTCATCTCTGCTGCCTTGGTCTCTGTCCCCAGCGGTGGGCTCCACCCCACACATCACCCAGGAGGTCCTGAAGGATGGAAGCATGCAGCTGAGGTGCGCATCCCATGGGTGGTTCCCGAGGCCCCACGTGCTGTGGAGGGACGGAGGCGGAAGGGCTGTACCTTCGCTTTCTGAAGCCTTCCGTCAAGAAAGCCAGGGACTGTTCCAGGTGGAGACGATCCTGCTGGTCACCAAAGCTCCGTGGTGAATGTGACCTGCTCCCTCAGCCTCCCTGGAGGCGAGGAGAAAGCTGCTAGGCTTCCTCTCTCAGGTTGGTGACTGCATGTCTTCCTCTGCTGTGGGAAGTGTCAAAACGGTTTGCCACTTACAGGAAGCTGCGTTTTTTGTTTGTTTGTTTGAGAGGTTTCATGTGCTTGGACTGCCCTGGGACTTGTCCTCCTCCTGCCTCCACTCGTGAGTGCTGGGATTCCTGGTCTCAGCCGCTGCTGCAGCTACTGTCCTCCCGTCCCTGTTCCTCTCCTGAACCTCCTCCTCCTCCTCCTCCTCCTCCTCCTCCTCCTCCTCCCTCTCTTCCTCCTCCCCCAATTTTCCTCCTATTGTGTCCTTCTTTTCCTCCCCCTATTTCATTTTCTTCTCTTGGATGCGGTATTTTTAAATAAATCTTTTCAAAATGAATCAGTGTCGCCAGGCGTTGGTGGCGCAAGCCTTTAGTCCCAGCACTCAGGAGGCGGAGAGAAGAGAACTCCCCAAGCTCTTTCTCGGCTGTTTCCATAGTACCAAAGACAAACTGAAAAATCATTTTTCAGGGCAGAAGTCTGGCACTTATTTCTGGTTTATAGTTTAAACTGTAATTTCCAGTTTATATGCATTATTCACAGGTGTGCCCAGCCTCTTCCATTGCCTAGCTCCACACACGCATCTTAACTGAAAACTCTGTGTGGTTGGTTTCTCACACCTGTTGATGCTTCTCATGCTGAAATGCTTGCAAGGCCGCTTGCTGTCCCCTCAGACGTAAAATCCTTCATTAGCTCCCTTCTCCCTTTGAAGTTTACCAGACGCTCCCCCACCTGCTCCATCCCATCCTGATACACCCGCACAGCCCCTGAGAAAGGGGATCGATACCATCCCACGCCATCCTTCACACCCTGACAGGGTGCAAGCAGGAGAGCGTGCTAGCCTGTTCCCACCATGCCCACAGTGTGATCCAAGAGGCAATCACTACTAAGGAATCTATGGGATACAACCAGAGTGCAGAGAGTGGGGACAGCAAGCCAGGAGCCTTCAGAGCACAGCATAATCATTGCCTCAGGTACCTTCCATTATCACACAATTTACAGCCTAAGTCCAGGCTAAAAGGTCAATGGGGTTTTACAACAGACAGGCTAGTCTCACTTAAAGCAAAGGATTTTTTTATTGCAATGTGATGGGAGTTGTCTTTCTTTATAGATGTTTGTCTTATTGGTTGATGAATAAAACACTGATTGGCCAGGCAAGATGATAGGTGGGACTAGGAGACAAGGTGAATGCTGGGCATTGTAGGCAAAGAGCAGTTAGTTGTATGTATTGGTTGATGAATAAAACACTGATTGGCCAGGCAAGATGATAGGTGGAACTAAGAGATAAGGTGAATGCTGGGCATTGTAGGCAAAGAGCAGTTAGTTGTATGTAGCACACAAAGGACTAAGAGGTCCAGCCCCTTCTCCGGTAAGATAAGACCACATGGAAATACATAGATTAATATTAATGGGTTAATATGCAAGACAGAGCGAGCCAATAAGAGGCCCTAGTCACCGGCCAACAGATATATAATTAACATAAATCTCTGATTGTTCATTTGGGGCTGACATATCTGTGGGACCAGGCTGGCAGGAAGAACAATCCATAACAGCAGCGGTGGTGTACTCTTGGAAGTGTGAGAAAGGGCAGGGAAATCATGAAAACATATTCCTCATGAAGCTGTATTTACCCTGATGTGCAACCCAACAAATCTTTATGTCAGATGAGGATTTGGAATCCACCAAGGCATGTTTGCAAACTCACCTTGTGACTTAACCCTTCTATACAGAATAGAGGATCCAGGTCTAGAAACGTGGCAGGCTTTCACCTGAGCCCTGCAGGGAAGCAGAAGCAGGGTGAAGAGGTCTCTGGGCAGAGAGAAGCTCAGGGAATGTGCCATCTTTCCTAGGTTTGGGAAGAGCGTGGTCCAGAGGGAGGTCCTGCAAACATTGGGGAAGAGATGACAGGGAGACTGTCAAGGTAAGAGGGGCGTGGCTAAGGGGTTCATGGTGGTGCTAAGAAATGGTCTCCTGGAGCTCTCAGTACCTTTCTCAAAGGATGCCAGGGACACCCTTGTCACTCACACAAATACCTTCTGATTCCCTTTTCCAGAGACATCCCTGAACAGGTCACTAGTCTGCCCATGGCCTCTCTAATCCCTGAGGGAGAACATGTTATCCCATAGACCAAGACAGGGGAGGCAAGAGTCAAACGGAGAGAAAAATGGCAGTTTCAAGCTTGGTTCAGCCTCCTTGAATTTTCTCCCACACCTCCTCTGTGACACAGGACTCTGATTGTCCTCTACCTACCCCACATTCATGCTGTGAACCTCTGAGAGACTCATGCAAAACTCACATTGTCTAAGTTCTTAGAGAGATGAAGGCTTCTGGGTATCGCTCACTACCTCAGAGATGCAGCTAGACAAGGTAACCCTGCCCTGCCTCCCAGCTCACCTTCTTGGCTCTCCTGTAAGTCTTGATGGAGATGCTTCAGGAGGCTCAGGGTCTGGGAGGAGGGGTTAGGTGGACATTTAAGAGATTCAGAGAACCGGATGCAATATGCTCCCCCCAGGAAACTCCAGGAGTCAGCCCCCCCCCCGCCATCCTCCAGACAGTTTTAAAACCAAAGGTGAAATAAGATTAGAAGAGAACTTCAACACAGACAACAGAACAGCAATAATTACATGGTTATGAGGTGCAGCCAAGAGCTGGAGCAACTGGTTTCTTTCTAAACTGTATGTGTTCCAGTTAGTAACATGGGTCTTGGACGCTTAGAACTTCATGGTTTGGATTAATCTCCTGATATTATTGCTTATGCTTAGGATTTGGGGTGAGCTATAGGACTCCTTGGTGCCTCTATTTCTTCATCTGAGAGTTGGTTGGATGGTAATTCATGTCCTCAATTTTTTGAGGTTGTAAAAATTAACATATGGAAGCAAGGTTGTCTATAGCACACCCATTTAGCCCAGGTCTAGCAAGTTCTGTCAAAAAGTCTGCTCCAGGCACATGAGTTTATCTGATGCTTTGTCATCATCTGGTCAGTTCTCTCAAAAAAAATAATAATTGAAAAGACATGAACATGTTTCAACTTTCTGATTCTCATTCACCCAGGCTGAGAAATTTCCTTCATGGGCATTGATTAAATCTGTGTCATCCAGTTGGACTATGTACACAGCACTGACAGCCCTCAGCTGGGCCCTTCCTTCTTACTCCCATGTCATGAGGAAAGAGAGAAAAGCTTGCTCTCCTCCAGGCCTGTGAATTCCAGAGCAATCATGTTCCTGCTCAGAATGACAGAAAGGGTCAGGAAAGTTGTACTTTGGCTGGAAGGATGGCTCCATACTACTCCAGGGGATCTGAGTTCAACTCCCAGAACCCACGCCTGGAAGCTCACAACTGCCTGTAACTACAGCTCCATGGATCTGATGACCTCTTCTCAACTCCCAGGACACTTGTGCTCATGTGCACAAGTTTACACACACACACACACACACACACACACAGAGAGAGAGAGGGGGGGGGGAGGGAGAGTGAGAACGTGCAAGCACAACATAAACACAATTAAAAATAAAGTAATTCTTGAAAACTGAAGAAAGAGAATACTAGTTTCTGTCCTTCAATTCTAAATCTAAGATTGATCATCCACAAGCAGGTCATAAGAGACATAAAAAAATAAAACAAGAACAGACTGACATTTTCTAACAAAACTGGATATTCACAATGCTGACTTAAAAATGAAAACTAAGCTTTGAGGAGAAATCATTTGAAGAAAATGATTCCCTCATAAATGGAGATGTCCACTAAGATTGGGTAACTTTCAGCAGCTGCCAAGAGATGATAACTTACAGTAGAGTATGAAAATGCAAACTTGGGGGTCTGGAGAGATGGCTAGGTGGTTAGGAGCACTGGCTGAGGACCAGGGTTTAGCTCCCAGCACCCACATGGCAGCTCACAACTGCCTGTAACTCAGATTCTGGGCATCTGACATCCCCTTCTGTCCTCCACAGACTCTGCACACATGTGGTGTCCTCCACAGACTCTGCACACAAGTGGTGCACACACATGCATTTGGACAAAGCACCCATACACATGAAATACATTTTAAATGCAAATCTATTGCGAGTTGACAGAGCCCTCTTTTGGTTGTCATTCTGTTTTTTATTTGAGACACAGCCTTGTGAAGTTCATGTAACTCAGGCAGTACGAATTCTGTCAGAAGTCGACTTCATGGAGAAAATAGAGGGAGAAGCCTGCTTGGCTTTAGTCTCTAAACCAATTAACCATGTGAGTGACCCTCAGACCTGATTGCCTCTCCTGGTAATGTAGGAGGCAGTTTACTGTGAGAAGTCTCCAAACTGCTTTACTGTTGCTTACTTTGCAGCTCAGCCCAGTGCAAAGTCCCTTGGGCTTTTATTTCCACTCCTGAAGTAACCGAAGAGCTGGAGGTGACTGCAACTTCCTCCTATACTCCTCTGGAGGAAACTCAAGCCAGAGCCTGGGGGGAAACCCTGTGTGTCCCCCATGCAAAGAATATCTCTGAAAACTGACACAGCCACACCGTTGAGTGTGCAGGTCACCAGGCCAGGCTTCAGATCACTGAGGATCCCAGGAGCTTCCAGGAATCCACAGCTCAGTCCAAATGATGAGTGAGGAGGTCGACTTCAGGCCTACTGTGAGAAGGTCTGTCCAAGGGAGGTGTGGGCCCCAAAAAGGTGGTATTGAAATCATGAGAATGTCGTAAGAAATGGCCCCTTTATTGGGAAATAAGTACGTAAATGAATAAATAGAAGAATAAATAAATACATAAATACATAAATAAGAGTGAAGACAGACTGGATGTGGGGGATAATCTACTTCCTCCTGTGACTCCACTGCCTTACACTGAACTCAGGGAATCCAGCTCCAATATCCCCTGTGAGACCATGACACACAGAAAGGCGGGAGAGCCCCACTCCCCCACACACACATAGAAAAGGCTTGGCGGTTTCCCATGCCCATGAGGAAACTGTTGGCCTTCAGAATAAAGAGAGGACATGAAAGGCCTTGAGGAGTTGTGGGGTTGGTGGGTTTTGTCTGAAGGGTTTTGTGGGAGACACAGTTAGAAACCTGTGGACAATGTTAAGTCTTTTAACTTTTCCAGGGAACCTCCACCTTTTGCCCTCCTACAGGTGAACTTGGCCTTGACCTTCCCTCAGGAGATGAAGGGCTCTCCCACCTTCCCTCCAGATGGCTGTCTCCTCTCTCTGCTCCTCCTGGTGTCCACCATAGTCTCGGGAGGTCAGTGCTCTGCCTCCTGCTCTGTATTTATTGTTTTGTTTTTAATGGCTTCTCTCAAGTAAATACAATCGCTTGTCCAAGAAATGGTCCTCCCCCGTCCTTTGGATAGTTTTTATAAATCTCAGAACTGTGACATTTACCTAAACCTTCACTGAGTGTGGGTGGGTTTAGCCTGTTAATTCCTCCTGTGTCTGATGAGATAGCCTTCCTGAGGTTCACAGAGTGTGTCAGTTTCCTCCTTGCTGTGGCCAGCTACCTGACAAGAGGCAGTTTCAATGGGAGGTGTTCAGTTTGGCTTATGGTTTGCGGATTTGGGCCACTGTGTCAGGGAAGGCATGCATTGGGGGTTCTGTGTGCATATGAGAACAAAGAATTTGGATTCAGAATTCTTGGCTGTGATGTTGACTAAATCATTTATTCTTTGGGGGATATAGGCCCCTCCTTTATAAAGCAAAAGCGCCCTCTAGATGACATTCCCAGACTCCAGAGAGAACTCAGAAAGGAGATCATGTGAATGGCACAGTTGGGTATTATTTCCTGAATTTGATGTCAGGTGGTAAATACAAAAATCCAGATGAAACCTAGGACTATACATACTAGACATCTGGTCTACCTTCAAACACATGCTAGACATCTGGTCTACCTTCAAACACATGCTAGACATCTGGTCTACCTTCAAACACATGCTAGACATCTGGTCTACCTTCAAACACATGCTAGACATCTGGTCTACCTTCAAACACATGCTAGACATCTGGTCTACCTTCAAACACATGCTAGACATCTGGTCTACCTTCAAACACATGCTAGACATCTGGTCTACCTTCAAACACATGCTAGACATCTGGTCTACCTTCAAACACATGCTAGACAATTGGTCGACCATCAACACTAATGTCCAAAAATGCTCATTCAAAATTCTGTAAATTTTTTGTAAAAACCCTTGGGAGGGGTCTGTGTATGTATGGATGTATGCATTCATGTGTGTATGCTTGCATGTGTATTTGTGTGTGTGTGTGTGTGTGTGTGTGTTTGTGTGTGTGTGAAGTTTATTATAGGATTGTTTATAGCAATAAGGTGGAAGTGCTATAAATGTTACCCATTAGGAGAATCTTGACCATAATTGTATAGATTGTTAAAAATTAAATAAATAGGGTATAACTAACCATATTACTAAAATAGTTGGAAGCCCTCCATTGCCAAAACTGATGCATGATTGCATTCATGTGAAACCATGATTCACCACGGCATTGTGGCTTCACCCAAAGTGAAATAGTCTTTCTAATTGTACATATATGTACAATGACACCGGTGTTAAGAGGATGAGAACACACATCCTATGAGTCACAGAGACACCCCACATTTGGAAGCAATGTAGAGCTGAAAAGAGCCTCCTCCAGTGTAGCAATGGCTGCTGGAGCATCACTCTCTCTTGGGTGATGGCCAAGGCTGTCATCTCTCTCTCTCTCTCTCTCTCTCTTTTTCTCTCCTCCCCCCTCCCCC